TACTTGCAGTTCTTCTGTCCTTGTAATAGTACTTGCTTCTTTTTCTCTGGCTCAGGACTATGGTCTTGGTCCCTGCCAGTCTCTAGCTTAGGCATATTCTCTGTCTTGTCACTTTTGTTGTGCTCTCAAATTCCTCAGCAGCATATACTGTTCTCTCCCAGTCTGCTCTCTGCAGAGGTGGCAACAGGAGATCTTATACAGAGGTCTCACCATGTTTCTAGTTGAGAACATGCCAAATTCAGTATGATGCCATGGATTGATATTTTGACAGTTTACACCCCCTCCCTAAAAATCCACTACCAGAACTCTTGATTAAAAGCAAACAGGCAAACTTTCAAACAAATGCCTTTTAGTTCTGCAGAATTATGTATAATTGAAAACAAGGTTTTATAATCAATAGTAGGTTGTGAGCAGTTTTAGGGAACATTGTGAACTCCACTGATGATAAAATCTGTGGAGAAATTGTGATCTCTGGGCACATGCATATAAACACATGTGTATGTGTGTGTACTCCTGCCAACATCTGCTTTCACTTCACAGTGTGTAATGGCTCAGCCTTCTCTCATTGATAGAGGAGCAGTCTCAGTTACTATGGGACAGAATCATGCATGTAAGCAATTACTGTGGATTATCTGATGTAACATAAATTCACTGCCTTTGGGCTTCAAAGTGACATACCCTGACTTCCTATCTTGTATGCTGTTTGCTTCTTTAAAACAGTATAAACTCTGGGCCGTGAATAGCACCTTTGATATGTTGGTGCTGCAGTTGCAAGGTCCCCTTTGTGCTGGAATAAGCTCATTTGGATATTTTGCACTGCAGGAGAGGGCTTGCACTGAAAAAATCAGCTGTTACAGGTGGCTTTTTCTAATGATGGTCTCAGTACTAAATTTCTACTGATTCTTCAGGAACCAAATGGAATCTTTCCCTTAAGCATAATAGTTTCGAAAGTGTCTCTAGTACTGTGAACTTCCTGTTCTACACATTTAATTCTCAGTGGAGTTTCTCCTAGCAGATAGCACTTTTAAAACAGATGATACACCACAATTGGCCCTTAAGAATATTAATTTGGTAACGATCATCAGAAAGTTGCAAGTGACACTGCAGTGGCATTTCTGTGTTTTCTGGACTGCAGTGAAATCTCTCAGTTCAGCTTGTATGTAATATAAAAAAAACTATGGTGTTTCTTCATGAAAGCAACTTATTTTTAACTCTGAAACCCTTGAGTCTATTTTAATTTTTGTTTATGTAAAAGGGAGAGTAGAATATTGCATTCGTTTTCGGATTATGCTGTGCAAAGCAGATGTTAAGCTCCTGTAACACACAAAGGGGGCTTTATGTTATTTCACATCTGTCTGCATAAACAGCTCTGTTAACTCTTTCAGACTCATGTACAGAGCTCCTTGCCTTTATTAAGAGACTGCCTCAGGAATGACTGATGAGGTCCCTATTTTGGGAGGAAAAAAAAACGCCCAAAAACTCAACTGAAGTCAAATACTGCCCTCTTTCACTGTGGGAGCTGCCAAAAGAAAGAACATCCCTGTCTGTAGAGGTCCAGAAAGAAATGAAAAAAAGGTCACCAAATTTTATTGCCTTGTAGATTATACAAATAGTGTGATAGTAAGTCAAAAGTGCTTTCTCAAAGTTCGTGAAGTGAATCTGCTTGGCATTTCATTTCATGGGCAGTTGTTGAGAGACTCTTTGCACTAGTGAGGGGTTTGAACTCTTGCATATCTGCTCTAAAATCCATTAATGGAACTTCTTCACACCACACTGATATACTATTTTTTTACAGAAACTGAGAAGTATCACTTTGTTAGAAGAAGCAGTGCAGTTTGTACTATTGTACTTTTCCTACTAAGATACCATGTCTAGATTAAATTTAAAAGCTCTTTTCAACCTTTTATATATATATATATATATATGTATTTAAACATTTTTATTTTTATTATAAATTCTGAAGCTTTGTCCCTTTTTGATCTTGATTTATCTTGTTGGTAGACTCTGAATTCTTTCTATCTTTCATTGAGTGGACGTGAACCACAGTGGGCTGCGTTATGTCACCTATTTATGAATTGCATCTTAAATCTGGTAACCCCATTATCTGTGCTGTGGGTTTGGCACAGCGTTGTGTAATGGCATTACTAGGGTGGCAAGTGTGGAGAAGGAGTATGGTGGTGCTGAGGGTTCACCGTGTCTTCTTGGAGAATCTAAGCATAGAATGCACCTTTACCATCTGCACAGCCTTGTCCCAGATGAACAGTACAGGGTGGAGAAGTGACATCTGACCATGCTGGACTATGTAGAAAGGGTTTACTACTGATTTTGCTAGGAATGGGCTTTCATTCTTTCTGGGTTCCAGGAAATCAGTGCTTAGCTACATAAAAATTTGCCCCAGATGAATTAAATCAGTTTAGTTTCACTACAGTGAGCATTTGTAGTGACACTGCAATTTTATTGTATGGTACATGTCACCTGCCTGTGGCTGATTTAAGTATGAATAAAAAAGTCACTCTTGTATTTGAATATGTATCCTAATGAATTTAAATTCACACTCAGCACTTCTTCATGTGCAAACAAAAGACAAGCGCCCACTAATGAGAGAAAAGAGTTTGTGCAGCCCACCACAGCAGAACACCTCAGCAGTGCTCTACAGCAGGAATGTTGCCCGAGGCTTTCCACTGGTGCCTTGTCCTGATGGAGTGGCCTTTCTTGCAGGACCTGTGGACCCCACAGCAGTGGGGTGTCTGTGCTGTGGGGTCTCTCCAAATGCTTGCACTGAAAGGGAGCCTGGCTCTGCTGTGGACAAATCCTGCTCATTGGGGAAGGGGCTCAGACCTGTCAGGCAGCATCGATTTAATGTATGGTTTATCTAGGAATAACCTACTTGTATAATAGTTCAGTGCTGCACCTGAAAGCTGAGACTGCCTGGGGTATGGTGGGGGGTAGGATTGTTCAGCTTCAGTTGATGTATCACTGTCTAACAGGATGCGATTAGATACTGGTAAGAAGCTGAAGGAATATTTGCTGTCAGGATGATGTTTTATTTAAGTTTCCTTTTCGTATCAAAGCAGCATTGTAAATTATGGTGGATCTTAAGATCAGTAGACAGATTTTTAGTTACACTGAAAATAGTTCTAGTCGGGATGTAAATGTTTCCTCAAAATTTTGGAGACCAGGCGTTATTAACAATATAACAATAATCCATAAAACCCAGAAGGTAAAATTAAGTACTGCAGTCTTGCTTCTCAAAATTAATAAAATGTAATCAAAAGTATAATCCAAGAAGGAAATCTACATTTTGAAACTACTGTCTATGAATTATTGTGTTTTTTTTAAAAAAAGTTGAATTAAGAATCATAGTGTCTGAGATATCTATGGCAGAAAGGTAACCTGAATTTTTTTCTGCATAAAATAGTATCAGCCTTCTTGAACACTGCAAAATCTTTGGTGTCCTCATGGACTTGTTTCTGTGTGGTATGCAATGAAATTCTACTTGTCTGAATCATTTGAGTAAGATTTTTCAGTAGTTTTATCCTTCTCAGTTTTTAGTCCACTTACAGTGACCAAATGTTTAGAGAGGCGAGCTGAATGAATGCACTCTTTGATAAAAGATAACAAAGCCCGAAACTGAGAAGCTTTGCTGCTCTTTGGGCAAGCACAGTTGATTTAACTTGGTACATGTTTATGAATCCCCAAACTAACTGTAGTTATTATACTTGAGTCATGCTAAACAAATAAAGCTTTGCATCTCAGGAGCCTGACGTATTTCAAGAGGTTGGCATGCATTTTCTTTACATGATCACAGGAGTGGCTCGCTTAACCTTTTAATTGGCAGGAAGAAAACTCACTTCATGGCCTGAGCCACAGTCGTCTCTGAATAATGTAAACAGTGATGACCTGAACTTGATCTTTTAGACAAGGGACTCACTTTTCTTGGTAGTTGCATTATACAGACAAACTAATGCGCTGGGGTCAGTGAGGGGCTTTTGTATATCCAGGCACAATAAAGCCAGAAGGTGTTTCCTGCTGTTTAGCTAATTAATGCAGGGTACCGCTCGGTAGGAGTCAGTGGGTTTGCTGCCTGTCACTGCTATTGTACTGCCCGCAGAAGGATACAGAACAAGCATGTGGGAAAGGAATGAATTCTCTGTCTTGTTCCACCTATTGCAGGACAGAAAAAAATGCAGGGAATCATCTATAGATTCATTTGGTGAAATGGGAAAAGATGTGGTTCTGGAATGGTGAAAGCGTATTTCTCAGAGTTGTAAATAAATAACAAAAAGAAATCGATATTATCCTGTGTGTGATGTGATGCTGTTAGAGCACAATTATCTGTGTGTCCTTAAGTTTGCCTCCATCCTGACACTGGAGGGCACATCTGAAAGGAAAAGACTGACAGCATTTCCCTATTAGATTTTCTCTTAAATTGTCTTATGATGTACTGTAAAATAAAGGATTTTGAGACTCTAAAAGCACATATAATTTGGTCACGTCTTATATTTTCTGATAGAAGTTCTGCAAACCAAGGAGTTCCTTTTCAGTAGTTAATATAGCAAAATAAATAATGGAATTTAGAGTCTGCTCTGATCTTGTATTCTGGTCAAGTACAGGCAAATTGTAAAGAGAAAATGTAAGGTGTCATAGTGAACAGCATGTATTGCATATTTGAGCATAAGGGAGCTAAATCACCTTAATTCTTGTTAAAACCTAGCAGGGTATGTGCTGCCTGTGGCTGCCTGCCTTCTCAGCAAGTTTTTAAGTGGATTATTAGCTAAGTGGAAGGCTGTTCGCAGCATCTTAAGTTTGACAGGCATGTGATTGTGCAGGGAGAGGATGAGGGAAAAGGGTTGTTGCTCTCAGACAAAAGCTTCTCGTAGATGAATATCTTCCAAACTATATTTGTAGTCTTGTTTTATCTATTTTTAATCTGGAATGTTATAGAGGTTTCATGCCCAGACATTAACTCTTCTGTTTGGTTTTTGTTTTGTTTTTTTCAGAACTGCTTAATCAAACATGATGAGAATGGATATTCAGCAATAGTTGGAGACTTTGGTTTAGCAGAGAAAATTCCTGATCACAGGTATGTAAGCTAATCTAAATGGAGTGAGAGTTTTAGTACAAGTGCAGGTCAGAAGCTCCAGTGAGCCAGATCCCTGAGGCTGTTGTTACACTCTGGTACAGAATTTTCAAAAAATACCCTCAGTCTTCAGTCTGGAGCTGCAGGCTGGATAGCCAAAATATTCCAGCCTTAATTACTGTCCATTTTGATATTTAGTGGTGACATTTATTCTTCAAAAATGCTCCAATCACTAAAGGATTTGCTCAAGCTTTTTGGTAGAGCTTTTAAGCTGGTATTTGGGAATTTGGGGTTTAAAGAAACCTGAAACACAAAGCAAACACAAAAATACTGTCCAGTATTCTGGATTGGGATGATTTTGTAATAAATGTCATTCATTGATTTCAAGCAACTTTAGCTTCTTTGTACTTTCATAAACAATATTAAGTGGCATTCAAGCATTATTCTTATTTAACCACTGGGTTAGTTTTTAAGATCCAGGATTACAACAGAGTAAAATAAAATTAATTATAAAATTACTGCCTAACAGTAGCTCACCATTTTCTTTTCCCGAGGATGAAATTATAATCTTAACTCATTTGAGGAATGCACAGGGGACTGTCACAAGCCATTGTCACAAGCCATTGTCACAATTGGAAATAGTCCTTTTGTCATCCCTCCATTAGAGAGATGAAGGACAAGGATTTCATTGTTCTCTCTATATATTGACTTGTGTATTGCAGAGTATTCTGACTGTGAAATGTGCTGTCAAATTTTCTCCAGTGTGTGCTTCTGCGTCAAATAAATAAAAGCTTTCCAGCGCTTCTGACTGCAAAGAAAACAAGAAAAGTTGATCTCAGCTATGCACAGTTTTTAAACTGTACATATCCTAAAACCATATATTGAGAGATCTGAAGGCTTACATTAATATTGGTGAAATAGACATTGGCTGTACTTATCAGTAGTTTTTAAATTAAGATATTTGCTTTGTTAAGCTTTTAGATCCACTATCTTGTAGCTGCTGTGGAGCACCCTGTGAGGTGCTGAAAGCCTCAGCTGTGTTCAGATGAGCACATCACAAAATCAGTGTAACACTACAGGTGCCTTCCTTAAGGTGTCCTTAATACCCAGCTTTGAGATGCCCTGAAAACTGAGATTATAATTACTGTAGCTTGAGACCAAAACCAGTAACATAATAGAATCGCTAAATTAGCCACTATTTTGTTTTTATCTAGCTTTACTTCCATTTTCAAATGCAGCTTTGTTCTTTCCAGTTTGCTGGTAACAAGCTGTGCTACTTTGAGGCCTTCAGAGGCCTTTTCTTTTTTGAATAGCAATTCCCTCAAGATCAGCTGGGGGACAGGCTGGAGCTTTCTTAAGATCCCAGTATTCAGCTTTATGGATACTGCAGGTTTTTCAAATTGGGTCTATTCTGATTACTTTTAATTTTTCCATATTAAAGGATTCATCTGGTCCATCTTGATCTTTAATTTTTTTTAAAATACAGTTTTCAGTTCTTTATTATTTTAATAATAAATAAGTTTGACTTCATTCAGAGCAGCATTTACACCTAGGGATGGATACCTGCATATCTTGCTGGATGAATGGTGAATTTGGCATTTAGCCTGAAACTGATGTCCACAAACCTTTTTATGTATAGATGAAAGAGTCAAATCTGCCAAGAGTTAGGTAATAAAAACTATTGAACAGCTGTGACTTTAAAATACAACATTATTTTAAAGTGTCTGGGCACTTAAAAACTGGAAATAAAAGATGAGTAATTGATTGAAGTAATTGATTGGGAAAGTTAGTAGTAATGCAATGCTTGAGCATTTAATTAATTGTTCTTCCTTCTCTCCTACCACCTCCCATCCATAACTATCCCACATCTATATAGTGAGAAGTTACCAGTTGTGGGTTCACCCTTCTGGATGGCACCAGAAGTTCTCAGAGATGAGCCTTACAATGAAAAGGTAGGCACATGATATAAATGCAGTTAGTTGTCAAATGTTTTTCTTCTGTAGCGGTATGCAGGATTTAGAATTTCCATCATATTAAATCTACTGTTATTTTTACTTGTGATATTTCTGTACTCAGTAGATCATTCATACTAATGGAGAGTGAGAATTAAATAGCTAATATTTTTAATTCATGGTGTTTAATCTTGTATGGAAATAGACTTGGCCTTAGAATTGTTCTCTGTTATGCTCTTTCTATTCTGAAACACCCCACATACTGAAACATAGTAATTTTCTGTGGACTTAACACAATTTAATTTAACCAAGTCTGAGAAATGTAGTGAAGTTGCTTCCCTGACTGTACACTAGTGAAATCTGGGTAGGAGTAAAAGGTCAGTATGTAAACTTGCACAATTCTGAGTGTGTATAAAAAATAAACCAGCCTTTCTTAAGGTAAGATACCTTGATAAGACAAAATGTTCTCCAAAGGTATTTCTTAAGTTTTCCTGATTGTGTCATTGGGAAATGTTTCTTCCAGAGGAGGATCAGATCACACTGGGTTTTAGAAATGGTATTTTTGATCAGTCTCTTCTTTACACAGGATTTTGTCTCCATTACTTCAGCTCTGCCAGTGCAGCTTTTCTGTAATAAAGCCCACATCCTGTACCTATCTATATCTAGTAGTTAATAATCTGTTTAATTGGTGGTACTTTTAACTTGCAGGAAAGCGGTAACTGCCTCAGTAATGAATGTAATGATTACCATTTCAAAGCTTTTTTTAAAGAAGTTTAATTAATAAATTATAATAATAATTAATAGTGACCTAAATTAATAGTAAGGTAACCAAACCTTTGGTGCCACATTCTTCGTTGACCCTACCATAGGGAGGAGTAAAGAGGAAGCAGATGTTGTACCTCATCAGCATGAAAGGTGACATATAAATAAGCCTGATATGTAAGGGATGAGGGATTCATGTTCTGCCCTGTAGACTTGTATTCCATGTTTTCCTAAATTTTATTACCTGAAAAATTCAGGTGGGTGGAAATTTGAGGAACTGTGCAGCTCCCGAGATAGTCAGATAAGTGGTTACTAAACGTCATGGAAATTAAACCTGATACACAGTGCTGCTAGATATCTCAAGTTTTAGAAAGACAGTTTTCTCCAGAGGTACTGAACTAAGAAGAGGAAAATGTAATTTATTTAAAAATAGCATTAATGTTCGGGCTAGGCTGTGAATCATGTGTATTCTAAACCTGCTTTTCTAACCACAGTGATATATGGGCATGTCATGTTTTGGCTATGTTTTTAATTATTCACATGTGTAGGACATCAAATGGAACTTCACTATTCTTTGTGCAAGGAAGGATTTCTTTATGTTTTAAATTTTTGCATTCCTGAATTAAGAGTGGTTTGATGGGTTTTTCTTTTTTTTTTTCTTGAAAGAATTTTAAATTTTTCACTGCTATTTGTGCAATAGGAATGCTTTGTGTGAGCATGGGTTTCTTCACATGAAAAATGTTAGCTCTAATGCAGTTGTTCATTGTTGTATTGTTGTTCAGTTGTTTCATGATAGCCATTTGGAGTAAGGAGAAACTCAGTGGCAGATAAGAACGCTGAGTATTCATAGCTGATCCATGTGTCTATTACTCTTTTTCTCTCTCAGGCAGATGTGTTCTCCTATGGCATAATTCTGTGTGAGATTATAGCGAGAATACAGGCAGACCCAGACTATCTCCCTCGAACAGAGGTAAGTGGTTGTGTTTATAACATTGATGGGAGGTGGTGAGTCTGCCATGATAAGGGCTCAGCCTTTAGAACTCCTGCCACTGCTGTCAAAGATAAGATGAATAGGTGTGACATTAAAAATAGCCTGTAAAAAGCTTTTGCTCTTTATGCTGTTATTGTAGGAAGCTCCATTAAGGACACTTTCTCAGAGACTGTGCAGCTGCAATGCTCATGGGAATCCTTTCTGTCCCTAACTGGCAGGACATAGAGAGCATTGCAATGCAAACTCTTCCTTTTGTGGAGTGATAGCTCATAAAGACTTCTTGCCAGGCTCACAAGAGGCACTTTTGGCACTCTACGTGCACTAAGCACCACCCCTTTGTGAAAGGGGCGGGAGCTGTGTTAACAGCAGCTAAAATGGGTTCACCTTTATTTTTGTGTGGAGTCTTCTAAGTACTGTGGATCTGAGCTATAATTGATTAAAGATACTTTTTTCTTTATTTGTCCCATCTACAGGGCAGCTTTTGACCCTCTGTGAGGGTTATTCCAAATTGTCAATCCCCCTTCATTTCTGAAAATGGAAAATTGCTTAGGTCTTCAACTGCAATAAATAAAAGATTCTTTTCTAGTCTGCCCTTCAAATTTTATAGACATGCACTTAAGGAACCAGATAATTTGTATAACCAGTCTACCATCCACTGACAAGTTAGCTGTATTTACTGATACATTTCCATCATTGCAAAGCCTCTGTTTTTGAGTAGGCTCTTAATTTGAACTATGAAAGTCACTACAGTGAAACATCATAGTATATGGTATTGTTTCCAAATCCCCACAGGCAAAGTTTCAAGTGCTGTGGATTGCATTTGAATCCAGGAAGAAGGATGGGCTTTGATGTCAGCCCATTCTCTTACAGCTATCCTGTACCAGTAATCCCCACTGGGAATGCTGCAGTTTGGAAGGTGCATGAAGTTTTCTCAAACTTCTGTTATGTGATTGCTGAGAAAAGTGTTCATGGTTATTCCTGATAACTTCACATAGGGACCCCCTAAAAAGAAGATGCTTTTAGCTAGATGGAAGACCTCATTTATTTCTCTATGCTTTGTTGTCGTTTGTACAGAATTTTGGATTAGATTATGATTCCTTCCAGCACATGGTGGGAGACTGTCCTCCTGACTTTCTCCAGCTAGCCTTCAACTGCTGTAACGTGAGTATCTTACTTAAAGGGGAGAAGCCTAAACTGGAGTTCTCTAAATCCCTCTGGCTTTTGAAGATAAAGCTTAAAGCATTTACAGAAGAGACTTGAAAAGCCTACCTATAGAACAATGTACCTTCTGACAACCCATGAATTCCCTTTCAGTTTTTATAATTCTTCCCTTCCCCTTGCTAAAAGGTCTGTCTTGCGTTTTTGCAATTCTGTGTTCTCCCATACCAAACAAACAGGTCTGGCACACTAAACAGCTTCTTGCGGACTGCTCAGGCTGATCATAACCAGTTGGATGCCATTGACACTGGCTAACCCTTGGGCTGACAGAATCCAGCTGTTGTTGTGTGCAGACCTACTGAGGTATGAAGGAAGGACTGAATTGCTCTTACGAGCCGAGGGGGCAAACAAATCAAGAGCAGGCATTACAGTATTCTAAATTGTCTGTATGGTGCTTTTTGGAAGAGGGGTTTGACATCCAAATCCTTAGCCTGTGTCAAAAAATCCAAACTTGGACTGAAATGATTTAATATCTGTAAGGCTATCGGCCATGTGCTGTATGGAGAAAATTTTCTGGCAATTATTCAAGTAAAATTATGATAGTGAAGATACCTTCCTGGCTTCTTATTGTAAAAACTCGAGGGCAGTAGATCTCTTCTGCTGGTTATCCTGTAACAGAGTTACTAGTACCAATGTATAGTAAACCAGTTAATATAAAATAAGAGAACCTGAGCTTCCACCACATTCAGCTGAAGTTGGGGATGTCCAGTTTGCTCAACTTAAGTAGAAGCAACTTGAAAAATTTTACTGCACAGAACTTGGATTCACAACCAGGCTGTGCTGGAAATGATGCCAGCATTGTGTCCAAGTGAGTGCTTTTAAGAAGTCTCATCTCTTTGTGCTTTTGGTGGTTATTTTTGACCTGACCTCTCTCTTTACTTTGTATGAGTACAAAAGGCCATGCTCAAGGAGAGAGTGGTAGAAAGGTGAGAATGGGGGCAATGACTGCTGCTCTTGGCACCACATAGCATAATTTAATTCTAAAAGTGTTTGTGGAACTTACTATGGACAAGCTACTTAAATCTTATTTTCTCTTATTTCACCTTAGTACCGCAGAGCTTGCTTCATCTGGAGTGGTACATCTCACTCATGTTTATGAAATGCTTTGATTATGTGAGCACTAGAGGGTTTGGTTAGAGGTAGGATTTGACTTTGGAAAGCTCAGCTCCCACCTGCAGACTCCAGAAATGGTACTGCATCCAAACACATGGTGCATGATTCAGAGCAATTTTTCAGCTCAGAAATTCAGAGTAAAGGGGCAGAAGGAAGGGGCAGTGACCTTATATTCTCATATAAGAATTTGGTGTGCTCAGAGAAAAAGGGTTTTCTCCTACTCATTATTGCCAAATGCAGCTTCCTGTATAATAAATATCCCTTTGCTGAATTGCAATGGAAATTACTGTCTTGTGATCCAGCCATTAATATGCTGATTTCATTGTGGGGCATGCTGGAATTCACATACCACTCACCTAGGAGAAGGAAAATGGAGTAAACAGATAAGGCTTTGTTATATCTTCTTAAGCATGCTATGCTTCAGTAAGAGGTGATTGGTGTAATTTTCTCTGAGACATGGACATTTATGTAGCTTTTTATTATTTAATAGGTCAACAAGGTGTGAACTGTATAGCCCAGCTGAACTAATGTGCAAAACACTGGGATTTTCTACAGCCAGGAAATATGTTTTAAGGCACCCTAAGAAAACCAGTAAAAACTGACACGTATGATTAGTGGATTAAAATTTAATTTACTATTTTAAACTGTGCAGGTTTGTAAATAAGCACCTGCAAGCACCCAACAATTATAAGTCTACTTGTGGGAATATTTAAGAAGTGTAATCATAAATGACCATGCAAAAAGCTTACCAGGATGAGCTAAGCTGTTGGCATCAGCTGCTTTGAGAAGGAATCTTCTTTTCCATTTGATCAGAATCTGGGCTGCTCAGGGATGGAAGAGGCAAATACCATTCTGAGTAACTTTTCCATTGTTGCTCTTGTCTTGGATCTTACCTAGCACAAATTAAAATAGCTGGAGAGCTCTTTTTACTTCCTCTAACTTCCTGCAGCTTACAACAGCTCCCTAAGATTCCCAAATTAGTAAGTTTGTCAGAGTGCAGTGCATGCTTCAGTGTTGCCCCTGCCCTACTCTTTCAGAAATAGGGGATGCAGAAAAATGTTTTCCAATGCCAGGAAATTCCAGCTGCTGCTTTAGAACAGTTTTCTTGCTGTTCTTGAGATCTCCAAGTGTGGTTTCTTTGTTTGGTTCTTATTACTGTAGGTATGAATTTTTAGCACTTTCTCCCTTGTTGCTAGAAGGTATTTGTGCATTGCTGATCATACCAGTTCTCTTCAGAAAGATCCATCTCAAACAACCTGCAGGGCAGTATCAGGGAGGTCTTTGGGGTTTGTTGTATACAAAGCACTACTGTTCCCATTGTAGAGGTGAGATCTGTCTGGGCTTGTCCACTCTGCAAAAGCCTTTAGAAGGCTGGAAACAGCAATCAGGTCAAACAGGATTGTTATTACTGGAATGAAGTTAACTTTCGGCTGCTGAATTAGATGTTGCTGCCTACAGTAGTGAAGCCTGTGACAAATATACAGAGTCAATGCTCAGAATGATGAAAAGCTTTCCATATTACTGCTTAAAGGAATTGTGGTACAATTTTAGTGTTGGACTTTGTTTAGAGATCTATGTGCTGGAGTGAATAAATAAATACATGCTGGGAAATACAGACTAATACATATTGATGAGCAGAGGGAATATTTTACCTGGGAAAAATGGATTTTTCTTTTTCTTAATTTATAACTTCATCAAATTATATAATCACCCTTGCTTCCTTACAAGGTAGACCATTACACTGAGTAGTATGGCTAATTAACAGATGGAAAAAGACAACATTTTCAGCTTTAAGATCAGCAGTGCCATTTAGTTGCATTTTAATTAAAGCCACAAGGAGATGATGGAAGAATTACAATCTTTTAAAAACTGGCATAGCCATGTTGTTTTGTGTAATCCTTTTGAAATAACATTGGTACATAATCTGTGTTTGATAACTAGAGTCCCAAAAGAAATCCTGAACTATGCAAGCTGTTTCAAGCAAACCAACCAACCCCTCTCACAAGCCATAAATCTGACAATTTCCTACCTTTTCAATTTAAGTTTTCTCCTCTTCATAGAATATTTACAAATTGATGATTAAATGTGAGAGGTGTAATAGAATACTGTTTCCCCCCTTCTTTCTGTATTTTTTTTTGTGATGACAACACACTTAAAACCATTTTGAATTTCCTCAGTTTCCTCAGATTGTCCCTCTCCTTATCCACTGTGTAAGCAGAATAAAAATGGAAAAACACACATGGACTTATTTGATTTATGTGCATTTACAGATGGATCCAAAGTTGCGTCCTTCATTTGCTGATATTGTCAAAACACTGGAGGAAATGTTAAATCGCCTCAGAAATGAGGACTCAGAGAGAGACAGAAAGTTCTTGAACCTTGACAACAATGAAAGAAAACCAAAAGGTAAGTGTCTGTATTGTACAAACATTGCTGCATGCTCACAGCAAGAGGAGAAAAAGCTTCATGTTTTGAGAACTGGTGTTTTGGCTGTATCTGGTTTTATTTATGGTTTATGAATGTTTTTACACAAACCTTGAAAATTAGTCTGGAGCAATGCTCTATACTTTGCATTGCAGAATGTAAAAAAACCCAGCTGTTTCTTAAAGTGCCTGATATTATATATTCTGTCCCCAATATCTTGAGAGGAAATTTAGAGTACATTTGGGAATGGGTTTGTAACTTGCTAATAGTATATGAAAAGCCATCAACTTTTTATTTATGGCTGCCATACTTCGTACATATACATAATTTCTTTGGTGTATGTTACATGTAACATTTAGAGGCTTCTTAAATTCCTTCAGGAGGAAGAGCACAGAAGATGCAAGAGTATTATAGAGTACCTAGAAATACTCTGAAAGACGAGAAAAGCTGAGTCCCAGGTCTGCTTGGGAATGTTGGCCTTGAAAGGTTTCCTCTAAAGCTGTCTGGTGCCACCTGGTGTGGGGAGCAAACTCTTGTAGCCTGGGCCATATTCTGACTTGGGTGTTTTATGTTAGTACACTTCTGGCATTAGAAACTTAGAGTACATTAAAAATAGTTTCTTGTATTATGTTGATACACAAATATGCAACATATGGACATACCTGTTGATCTGTAAAATAGTTGTAGATTGAAATAATTTTTCTCAACATTGAACCACATAGAGTTAATGCACGTGGGTAGTTCTCCCACACCTGGAAAGCATCTAAAAGAAGTGTGAGTTTTAAAGGAAATTTGTTTGTTTGTTTGTTTAGGGTTTGTTGTTTGGGTTGTTTTTTTTTCTTTTGGTGTTTGGGGTTTTTTTTTCTGGCATTCTCCCTTTGGGGTACATGTACAAAACAAGTACTTCTCTAAGAAGTGTTACATGCTGTTCTTTAACTTGCGTAGTCTTTCCTATATGGAATGGCTGTAGTCCAAAGTGTGGCAGTATTTAAAGGGAAAAGTGAAAATCCATATGTGCTTAGGAAATGGCTATCAAAAGGAGATACCACTTCTTTATACCCATTTTTTATTGCTCTAACATGGCTCTTCAGAGGCACCTTGAGAGCCTGTGACAGATGCATGTTCCAAACACTTGGGGAGTTAACATCTACCAGTTTCTCATCTGAACCTAGTGATACAGCTTTTATTTATAAATGTGTGTGCACAATGGGTGTAAATACACAGGCATGTGTACAACTTTTAAACTCCTATTTGTTAGGGTCAGACTCTCATATATTGCCAGTTTTGTATTGGATAATGTACTGAAAGAAGGCTGGGATGGAATGATTTGTAATCTGCATGGTACAAGGAGAGTCTATATTTTTGTCTTAGACATTTCCCATCAGGGTGAAAAAGTCCTAATTTCTTTGGCAACTATGTTTTGTACTAGTTCTCTTTTGTGGTCAGTAGCACCAACAAACCTTGGGCAACCTCTGCTGGAAGCCAGGATGATAAATCTAGAAACATGCAAATTGTTCTCCAGCACCACCCCGTGCCATCTCTACTGTGGCAGTATACTGGTAGCAAGGAAGTTTGCAGGGGCTCTAAAATACACTGAAGAGAATGGTGTACTTGTGTTTGTGCAGGAACTTAAAAGGAAGGAGCAGACATGTGCTTATGGAACATAACTTGAAATACCAGGAATGCAGCTTTTTTCTTTACAGTTGTCATGAAGGCTCTGTGAGTGAGCAGGTGCGCAGCTATACAGAGCTTCTTTAAGCTAAGAGTATTTCTCTTTTTCTATTCAGGATCAATTGACAAAGGACCAGGAGTAAAACGTTTGAGTTCCTTGGATGATAAGATCCCACCCAAGTCACCCCGTCCGCGTCGGAATATCTGGCTGTCACGCAGCCAGTCGGATATCTTCTCCCGTAAACCTTCCAGGAAGATTAATGTGCAGGATCCCTACTACACACCAAGCAAAGGGTTGGGCCGGAAAGTGAATCCCTTCAGTGCCCGGGAGGACCTCAAGGGGGGAAAGATCAAATTCTTTGACATGCCAAGCAAGTCTGTGATTTCCCTTGTGTTTGACTTGCATTCTCCAGAGGCAGGTGGAGGCCTGAAAGCCAGCCAGTCCCAGTTCCGGCAGGCATATAGCACAGACTGGCAAGACCTTTCCCTTCTTCCTGGGAGAAGATGCAGATCACTTCCGCTTTCTCCTGAATTACCACACAAGGAATATGGCCTGTTTGGGGGACTGTCTTCAACTGTTGGCAGGTGTGACCCAGCCCAGTTAGGTGCAGAGGTTCGGCAAAAACTCTTGAGTAGCACTAAATATGGTGTGTCAGAGATTCCCCCCTTTCATGCCAAGCCTCACAGACCAGAGTTTCTTCTTGCACCAGGACAAGAAGAGGATATGGACTGTTCAGATGGGCTAGTGGCCCAGGAGGAAAATGGGTTTTGCCCTGTTGAGAACACATGTGGAGATCCAGCACATGATCAACCATTAGTGCTGGCCCAGTCTGGGCCACTATCTTATAAAAAGCTCCCCGTTGAGAATTCAGTGAACTCTGAGGGACATGGCTCCCCACAAGTGTTTGCAGGTTGTCTCCCTTCTGAAGAGATGGAAGTAGAAGATGATCTAGTGAAAATTACTCTGTTAGAGTCCACAAAGCCTCTGTTCAGTGTTAGTCCTCCCACTGAGCTGAAGAGAGAGGCATGGCCCTTCAGGGAGCAGGATGGGGACAGTCCTGCCCTGTTGTCTCAGACCTCCTCCAACATCTCAGCAAGTGGCAGCACAAAGTCAACTTGTGACATATGAAGAGAGGGCTCAAACTAAATGTGTCCTTGAGGGAACAGTTGTTCCCAGTTGCTTAAACTCTGTTTTTCTGCAGTACTGGGCTTCACATTTGAAAGACTCAATGGATGGTGGAAGCTGGCTGTTGAACACATAACTGCAGAGTGTCTGAAGAGACTGATTATTTTATAAAACTTTATTTCAAATTGTGCTTATTCCCTTTCCTGATTTGCATTAGGAGGGGGAGCTACTCCAGCCAGAATGGCCATGTGGGTCCCACAGTCCTTCCAAGAGGCAGCAGCCAGAGTAGGCACCATGTAAACCGTTTGACCTGGATTTCCAGCATGGGGCATTTCAAGGTCTTAAGCTCCAAGTAGAATAGAAAGAATGACCCTTAGATTTTTCCCTCTTCCTCTAACTGAAGAGCTGCTCTAAGCCACTGCAGATTTTTCATTAACATTCTGCATCAGTGCACGTGAGGCAGAGCCTCTGTTTCAGAAACAGGCACAGAAGTCTTTCCAAGCTATGTTGAGCAGATAGGAATGCTCTCTAGTTCCAGAGCTGCTTTGAATGCTGTTGTAGCATTAAACAAGCTCTTCTTTCTAAAGCAGCAAAAAACAAAACCCCTCATGCTGGTCACAATCTGCGGGCTGAGTCACATGACAAGTACTTTGCAATTAACAAGAAGAATCTGTTCCCTGGTGTTTCATTTTCCCTTGGGATTTAGTAATGATGTTTAATACATTTGTGCAGGGAAGCTCGCTTCCTTGTACAGCTCTTTATGGTACCTCAGCCCAAATGTGGAGGAAGATTTGCCCAGGGCACAGAGAAGCATATTCCAGGCATTGCCATTTCTGAGCTTCTGAAGAAACTGCTCCTGAAAGTACCAGCTGTACTGAGCTTTTGGCAGAGGGTGAGCTCTTATCTCTGAAGAGCTGAGTGGACATCATGATTTGTTTCTGCAGAATAGTTCAATACAGTAGCTACATCCCAGTTGACTATTATCACTAAGCTAGAAGGGTCACATCACCTCCCTCTCTGGTACAACATCCCGTCTCACTGATTTCACTGCAGTAATGATGGCTCCTCACTAGCCTGCTTGACAGAGGACAGTGATAGCCTACTCAGGGGAAGTTGTCAGCAGTGTTGTAGCCCCACAAGTGCTCTTGGAGAGGACAACTCACAGGAGGGCTTTGAATTGTCAAACAAGAAAATTAGCTAGTCCCAAATTGACTTTTTGTTTCTTCTACAGAAAGAAGCTGCTGTCTTTATTGGTTTCTCCTGTCACTGAATAGGATGCTTTTTTTATTTATTTTTTTAACTTCCCTCCACGAGCAGGTACCTGTGAAAGAAGCAGCAACATGAGCTTTAATGCTGCTTGCTGGAACCAGCATCAGCGATCCTGGCTCTGGGATGCAATATATGGGAAAGCTTGTTCTGTGACATTTGTGCAACATCCTGCCCTTTTCCAGTATCATCATCCCAAAAACCATGGGATTTTTAAAATTTTATTTTATGGGGTTTTTTTTAACCTATATTATCATTCCTAAGTGACATAAATATTGCACACCTGCTGAGCAGATGGTGATGCAGTGGATTCCAGAATATCATCCAGGTAGCTTGTTAACACTCTTCCTGCTCTCTTGTAAGGCTGGATACTGTAAGCTAGTCTCTGATGAAAGCCAGACTATTTGTACTCTTATCTCAAAGAAAGGATGGAGAAAGCCTTCGTTGTTTCTTGGCTGGGTTGTATATCTTTCCTGAGGTGTAGGTAGCTATTCTATGAGTTACTTCCTCTAGTGAAGTGTGTGTTAACCTGAGCAGCAGTTCTCCCTTTGCAGAGGCTGCCAGGAATGAAATGAGAAACCCAGTGTTGCCGAATTATTTAATACAGTCCATGCCAGATTAGGCAGCTGTTGGCAGTTTAAAGGAGAACTTGTCTGTGCTCACTAAGATCACCCTTTTCAGCCCACACCTCTCTCCCTGCCTGTTGAAGGTGCTGATCTGTAGAGTAGTCTCTATCTTCTGTATCGTGTCTGCAGAGTGCAGAGCAGCTTGTATGGCTGCCCCTGTGTGTGTGTAACTTCCTTTGAGGACAGAGAAACACCAGAACTCAGTTGCCTGCCTGGTGCCTGCTTGCTATTTTGTTTGGGGTTATTTTTGGATTTTTTTTTAGTTGTTGTTTTTATTTGGTTTTTTGGGGTTTTTTTTTGCCTGTGCTACAGTTGTATCTTCTGGGGAGAGAAACCATCAGCACCAGCTTCTGTTGTCACAAGATACATTTAGGTGTGACTTCAGACAAATAAGCAATAATGAGTAGTTTACTTTTGCATCACCAGGCTGAGGGAAGCTGTCCAGCACACGCACACCTCTGGCTGCCCTGGGGCTCCCGTGAGCGAGCCCTGGCTGTCAGTACTGACACCTCATCACGGAGCCTGTTGCCCTCCCCGACACTGACTGCCAAGCTTGAGCAGTCAGGCCTGGGGTACCCCTGGGGCACTCACTGCAGTGACCTCACTTCTCTCTTACACCGTTACAAGGTTTCCCTGCCCTGAACAGCTCAGCTTACAAAGCAGCACAGCTAAAATTTTATTTTCTTAAATGTCCGCTCTAAGCACAACCAATTGACCATGCATTGGGCACAGCTATCAGCTTTCCTGGCTCTTTGTACTGAGGTGGAGGTGTCAGAAACAGAAATGCCAAGGACTAGCAGCTCAGGCCTTTCCTGGATTGGTCTGCATGGGAAGAGGCACGCATATGAAACTAGCGTAAAAGGTCATTTTAAAAACTGCTAAGTGGTTGCTGAAACCCAGTGTTTCCAAGGATGCAGTTGGAAGTCACTACATCTCATCCCTTTGGCTGCATAAAGCTGGATCTAGGCTGCACCTAGTAACTTCTAGGTTTTGTGCCTACTGAGGTTGCTTTTCTACAGAGGGCTGTTTTCTAACAGCTACAGATAAACATGAATTTGAACATGTGGTCAACAAACTCCTTGTTTTATAGTGATGTGACAAAGTTTTATCGCAATTGGATTTTACCTTGATTTTGACTTTATAGGAGCAGTTCTTGCTCTTTTAAAGTACCTTCTACACATTGCTACACATCTCCCTGAAGAGATCAAAGATATTTTTAATTCACTTTAAATCTATGTTGAGTTCATTTAATGTCTGTTATAAGCTATTTTTGTTGTGGTTGCAGGTTGATAAAATGCAGCCAAGAGAATGCATGTGAATTGCTGCCCCTCTAAAGCAGCACAGCCAAGGGGCTGTAGCAGACTTGTACTTGTTGGAGAGGCATTGATGTATTATGTGTAACAGAACATTGGTATTTTTTGCCAGTACAACTAAAGACACTTGAATAATTCCTGTTTGCACTTAATGCTATTGTTTATATTGCATGTCACTACATTTCTATGCAAAACAAATAACCTTTTTTTTGGGAGGAGGGGCAGCCAGATATTTGATTAAGTATAAAGATCTTTGCGAGATGATCTATTTTCGTATTTATGAAGGAGTTTTACGTCTTAATATTTTGCAGTCTGTAAATAGCTGAACTTGTAATTAAAGGCTTAGGAAGAAGTTTGTAGCCTGTGTATAATAGTAAGTTAACACTGCCAGAAAAAAAATCTTTGCAAAACAACTTTTCTAATATTGCGGATATTTATGAATATGTAAAGAAAGCACGTCTTGTTTTTATGTTGATTGACCTTCTGACTTTTTTGAACTATAGAAATGGTGTATGTTTTATTGGAACTGCAATAAGAAGTAACCAAAGATGAATCCACTTAAATATTTTCATAATTTTTTTCTTGGTCAAGTTTTGTAAACTTTCCCAACTTGCTTTCAAAATAAAAATGAAATCAAGGCCTGAGTCTTGTGATTAAGAGGATAATTGCTTTAAGTCAAAAAGGGTGGTTCAAATGCTTACTTAAAATACAAATGCCATTAATACCTGGCTTGAGATTGTATTTGGTATTACTCAGTGCTGAGTTATACGCAAGGAAAACTCTCATCCTCAGTAAGTGTTATTTCTCTCCTGCATCTCACTGAAGAGTTCCACTATCAAGTCCATGAAATTCAAGGATTTTTTTTTCTGCTTTGTGTTACAATGCTCTGAAGAGTAGGCCATATCTTGTGACCTAACAGATAAGATGGCTTTTGATAGCAGCCATGACACTTGTCATGGTGGCTGCTCTGTTCTAGCTCTAAATAGCTTCAGCAGCACAGGAAGTTGTGCAGTTTCTCAGGATCACATATCTGGCTTTCAGCCCCACTGCCTCTCCCCTTAGACCAAGTATGAAGACCTGCTATGGCTTGGTTCTGCATGCAGTTAGCTGGCACTAGAATCAGCTGGCCCATTTGGGAGGAATTTTCTCCTTCCCTTCTCTCCTGTAAGGGCAAAGGTCTTGTCTGTGCATGCTCTAACCAAAGGTGCATTTCTCCCCCTTCAGCCTCATCCCTGCCTTCAGATCCCAGCATGCCACTAAGGAACACAGGCAACTCCAACTGAGAGCAATTTAATCAGATGTTAAAACAGAAACAAGAATATAAACCCTGTTCCCTTTTTGGTGAGTTCTTGATGGCAGAAAGAACTCCAAAACTTGGAGGAGAAAAAGCAGAGTTTAGTGAGGAGTTCTGTAGCTCTATGCACTGTCCCAGGCCAACTTTATCTTCTCACTGTGAGCTTTGGAAGATTTAGAAAACAAGCTCTTCACTATCTGCAGTGGTACTGATTTCCCACTGAGGTACAGTTTGTTATGGCAGTCTGGCAACCAGGGCCCTGTACCAGTGTCTGTGTTTTTCCCTTGCTTGAGCATCCAGACATAAGCCATGATATAGCCAGTCATGAACGCATCAAAGCCAGCTCGGTGTGTGCCCCCTTGTGAAGGAGGGACATGGGTTTCCTTTCCTGCAGCACCTGCTGCTTCAGTCTCAGGGGTGGCTGGGTGACTGGCTGAGCCCAACCCAGTGGGAACCTTTGACTCCCTCTCCACTTGGTCACTGTGAGAGGCGTTTCCCTTGGCAGAAGGGCTCTGGGCAGCTGCTCCCTGGTCAGTTCTTTCAGTGCTCCCCAGATTCTCTTCCCCTTGTGTGCTGGTGTCTGAGCTGACCTCTGTTTCCATGTCCATGGAGATCTCCTCTAGTGGCCTGCCCTCCCCGTTGGGTGCCATCTCTGCCAGCTCTGTAGCAGCTGCAGGCTCATAGCAGCTCTGCTTCCGTGGCGGTCCTTCCTCCCCGTTCTGAGCTTGTTCCATGTTTTCCCCTGAGCTTTCCAGTTGGAATGCTGTTACAAGCACTTTAATGTTCTTCCGATGTTTCCATCTGTGCTTCCGTTTCTTTCGCTTCTCCCAAAGCTTGTCATCCTCATCAATGATGAGGTCAATGTTATGAGACTGTGGACACTTCATCCCTTTTGGACACCACCCATAGGCCTAGGGGGAGAGAGAGAGAAAGGTCTGTAGCCTCCATCTTCCTGGTTAGAGCAGCAAGCACCATAATGTGGAGTGGAGGTAATTATTCCCTTCCACTGGGGGCTTGTGAGGCTGCAGCAGGACCACTGTCCATTTACAGCCCCCCAGCACACAGGAAAGGTGTTGACACACTGTACTGGGTGCAGCTGGGAGCCGTCAAGGTGCAGCACACAGCATATGAGAGGCCAGTGCGGGTTTGTTCTATCTGCAAAAGACAAGGCTAAGGAGAGGGGGATATCTAGTTGGTGTCTGCAGGTAGCTACAGCAGAGGTATGGACAACATGGAGCTAAACTCTTGTAAGAACACAAGGAGAGGGGTCCTCGTAACTGTAAGGGGAAATTATGACTAGAGCTGTAGGAAAACATTTTTCATGTAGTGGTCAAGCACTGGAACAAGGACCTGGCATTATTTTTTAATGTCTGTCCTGAACATAATTTCAAAATTTACCAAACAAGACTCTAAGCAACACTGAGGTGGTGGCTGAATGAGAAACTTGGAGATTCCCCAACCTCTATTCTATGACAAAATGTGCAACATCTGGAGACCTTTTCTTCATGATGCACCTGACGCCAGTCATGCTCTGACCAGATGGGCTCTTTGCTGCTGTAGCTGCACCAGGACGATTGGTGCACTGTTGTGGATCACCCTGTGCCAGTGTGAAAAGCTGCAGACAAGTAATATTTTTTTATATCTAACAAAGATAATGGGAAGGATAGAGGTGGCACTTTCTTTCTTGTAGGACGAGCCAAACTAACACAGAACTTTCAGCCCCCCAAGACAGCAAGGGACACTGTAACTCATGCTGTCCCACTGCTTAGGGCCATAGACTCTGTTGGAATCTTCCTAATGAAACCTGTAAGATGCCCCACCTCCAAGCAGATCACACTAGTGCCCTATCTGTCATGAAGCCACCTGAAGCTTGAAAATGTTCCTTGTACTATGAAGCAGATGAAGGGAACTTCCCAGGTGCTTTCCTACAACTTCTGGCTTAGGCCACATGTGCCCCTCTCCATGGAGCTGGGAAGGGAGTGGGGATTTGTGTTACTTACTGAAAATTTCTCACAGACAGGCAGCTTATTCCCCCCTGCAGCACTGTGACCCTCCTCTTCCACAGAGCAGTAGCGGTAGTCGATGTAGCGGGACATGCTGGCAGGGTAATTGCAGAACTCCACCATGAGGTGCTGCCCGCTGGAGTCCCTCAGCTTGCAGTTTTCTCGTTTGCTGGAACAAGAGGAGCACACAGTTACTGTGGGATGGGACCAGGGCACGGAGTAAACGCTGCTCTCCACCAACTCTCAACTCCATGAGTTTCCTGCACTTGAGCTCCAGCCCCAGGTGCTGGAAAGGAATTCAATCCCAGGAGAGCAGCTTTAATAAGTAGCTGTTTCCATGCTAATTAAAAGGTTGGTTTTTCTTATGCTGACACAGAGGAAGGGAAAGCAGGGAAAACAGGAGAAGGGGATGCATAGCTTGGATTTTTTAGCTATAAAGGGCACTGAGATATGTGTTTGTCTTCATAATGTTGAAGGACAAGGAAAAGATGCCCCAAAATGAGGTACTGTGCAGACCACCCAGACAGGTTGAACCTGGGCAATGCAGGCAACAAGGAAACAGTTTTCATTTAATGAAAAAAAAAACAACTGTGTTGTCCCAAGAGCTGGTTAAAAGGCCCAAAACATTTGAAAAGCTCTACCAAATGAGAACTTGGGTTAAAACATGAGATGTCAACTTAAAAAGTTTTTTTTATTTTGTCAAAACAAAGCACTCTCATGTTTTGAGAACGGCCATCTTCAACATTTTCAGACCTCTCAAAGTGGTATTTCCTGAGATAAAACAGTCACTAAAAATACCATTTCTCCTCAAAACAGAGCATGACTTGAGCTTTATGGAGATCTCAGGGGCTTTTTCACTGCCAGGGGCCTGTTTAGATTGCAAGAGGCTGGCAGAATGTGGGGCCAGACTGGAAAGCACAGACATGTGTCCTGAACAAGAGCACAACCCTTGCTTGGAAGGAAGTGATGGGAGTCAGAGTGGGCCACAGGCATCTTGTGTACAGGACATGTGACAGAGCTGGTCAGTGTCGAGCGCAGGGAGCACCCACCCTTTAACTGCAGTGTGCCTCACAAAACAGACTTTTAACTAGCAGATCCTGCAGGACAGCCCTGGTTTATTTTCTGTGTGAGCTCCTGCCATGACCCTGTGGCACTGCTGGACCAGAGTCAGGCAGTGTCCCAATTAGATCTTGGAGCAGACCATTGTGGTCAGTCTTCTACTGGCACCAGTTCTGAAGTTCTCTCTCAGCTGCTGCCCACTGAACAGGTAAGGCCTATTAAAAAACAAACTCAGTCTAGAAAGAGAGTGGAGCCACCTAAAAGCACCTTCAGTCAGTGGGACAGTGAAAGGACACAGCTCCCTTGCCTGGAAAAACAAACACACATTGACTTTCCCTTTGCCTTTCCTCCTGTAAACTCTGAGTACCAGTGTGCTGCTCACCACTTCTTGTAGGCATACTCCAAGTAGGATGCTACAAAGCGAGTCTCGAACTCCGAAGCGTATTTGGTGTCGTATATTCCCGCTGGGAACATCTCAGAGAGATCAGCAGTGAAGGTGCCGAGGCTCTCTGGGAGGTGAGCGTAGAAACATTGGTACAGGAAGACCAGGTCGATCAGGCCGTTATGGAGAATGAGCGGCTTCTTCGCCCGGATGAGCTCCAGGAAAAGCGTCCGAACGCTCAGGCTCTGGCACTCGTTGTCCTGCATGAGGAAGGATCAGTCAGTGAGCCTTGGCACCCTGTCTGGCTGTCACCCTGGAGAGCCTTCAGAGCTGACTTACTCTGAACAGAGACACAAACATTTGCAAAAGCAACTGCACCAAGTGGGTTTAAAGCAGCACAGAGGTGAAAGGGATACTGGTGCACGCAAAACCCCAGCATGTGCCCACCTTCACGCAAGAGCAGGGGAAGCCAGCACACTCAAAGAAACCTGGAGCAGAGCAGGCTGAGGTGTCTGAAAGTGGGTTTGTACCTTGTCGTTGCCCTTGTGGTAAGGGATCCCCTGGGAATACTGCTTATTGAAGTCGAATCCGTGCTGCACCAGGAACTGCACTGACTGGGGCTCGACCACGTAATCCTCGGTGCAGAGCAGCGTGAGGTTGTAGATCTGGCACAGGTACGTGTTCTCGGACTGCAACAAGGGGAGCGTGCAAAGAACAGGGACTGCCAAAGGGACTGTCAAAGGGAGCTGCTGAAACAGCCGGGACAATTCCACGGGGGAATTCCATTCCCAGAGCGTCCCCGTTCCCCGGGCCGGACCAAGAGAAAACGGCCGCAACGCGGTTCGTGCACGCACCTTCTCCGGGAGCTGCTTGAAACAGGCGACGCCGAGAGACAGGACAGAGCGAGTCCTGGCGGCGCTGCAGACGGCCTTGTAGCGCTCCTCGATGCACCTGGCGGCGGGAGAACGGGCCGTGACGGCTCCGGCCTGTCCGTACCCCGGGGAGAGGGCACCGCACAGCCAGTACCGAAAGACGCGCACCCCCACCCCAGGCCCCACCGGGCACTCACGGGCTCAGCAGAGACTTTCTGGCGCCGAGGCCGCTCAGCTCCTGCGAGGGGACAGACACCGTCAGTTGCGCCTCGGGACCGGCCGCGTCCCGCCCCGCTGTCGTGTCCCCCCCCCCGGCTCACCGTGTCCACGGCCACGAACGTGGCGGAGCGCAGCGCCAGCACCATGGACGGCCACAGCTCCGCCAGGTTGTCGCTCTGCACGTCCACCACCGGCACCCGCGCCGGGCCCGCCATGGCCGCGCCCGCACGGGGCCTCCGCCGCCGCGCTTGCCCGCCGCCTGCCCGCCGCGGGCCCCGCACGCCTTGCCCGCTCCGCGCCCAGAGCCGCCCG